GTGGAGGGCAGTGTCACTGGCCCTCATATGTGGGATCCGAACCGGGGCCATCTGGCGTCCCAAGCCAGTTCTTAACCATCGCGCCACTCGGCCGGCCCAAGAGTTTTGAGCTTTATTCTGAGGGCACCAAAGAGCTACTGGAGGGTTTTAAGATTAAGAGTGCCACGATTTGGGTTGATCGGTTAGCTCAGTTGGTTAGAACGTGGTGCTGATAACACCTGGGTTGCCGGTTCGATCCCCGCATAGACTACTGTGAGCTGCGCCCTCCTTAAAAGAGTCAACTATGCCATTGTAGCATGAAAGCAACGTGTAACCAATGACCATGGCTGTTCTCCAATAAAATTAAAAAAACAAAAGAGTGCCATGATCTGATTGGCATTTAGGAAAGTCCTCAGTGTGGCTGCTGAGTAGAGAAGCAAGAGCAGCTTTGAGAAGCCCAGAGAGGAGGCTTGACAGTGATCTGAGACACACAGTCCCCGTGCTAAGGGGTCAGCATCCTGGGTGGCAAGAAGTAGAGTGTTCAAGAGATATTTAGCAGGTAGACTAGGCAACATTTAGTGACTGACGGGACTTAATTCTGGGGAGAAAGAGGGAGGAATGACTCCGAAGTGTGGACAACCTGGATCCCATCTGGTGTCAGTTATAATGACAAAGCACCTCTATTCAGCTCTAGGTGCCCTGAAAGGCTAATTTAGAGCAAAGTACTAAATGAAGCATCCCCAAAAAAACATTCCTGTTTGTTTATGAGACCTTGCTTCATCAGATGGAGCTATGAGAGGTGAGTCAGAAAACATGAGTAACTCAGCAGGACTGATTCACATTTTTGAACAAGGAGTGACATGCTGAAACAACCAAGCAGAAACAAGCTTCTCCCCCTCCTACTCCAGGGTCCTTTTCATTGCGCCATCCTTGCAGCCGAATCATTTGTTTAAAGGTGGCAGGGTGAAATGGTGATTGTTTAAGGTCCCTGGGCTGAAATTTTTTGAACTTGATTGAGATAAACGCCAAATCGGCATTGGAGTTCCTTGCCAGAAATTACAGTGTCAGGATCGATATTCTGCAAATGACTGATAAATATTGATTGTTGTTACAGCCGAAGTTTCAGACTGACCTATGGCCATTCCAGACTCTTTTGAAAGGATGGACCAAATGATCAAAGGACGTGGGCTGACAGTTTATTCAAGAAGAAACCAAACATTAGGAATTGTTTTTCTGGGGGAAAGTTTCGATCTCACTAATAAGCAAAGAACATTAAATTAAAATGAAGACAGGGCCGGCCATGTGGCGCGTTGGTTAAGAACTGGCTTGGGATGCCAGCTCTGAGCAGCAGGGCCCGGGTTCAAATCCCACATGAGGGCCAATGACGCTGCACCCTCTACAACTAAGATGGTGAACAGCTCCACCTGGAGCTGGGCTGCCATGAGTCGCCAGCGTTGGCATAGACAGCAGTGGAACTGCTGTGAGCTACCGTGAGTGGCTGGCAGCCAGTGTGAGCGGCCGGCCGGCAGTTGGCATGAGCTGCCATGAGCCGCCGTGAGCGGCTGTCCAGTGGCTGACGACCAACTGCCTCACCCAGGAAGACCGCAATGATAATACCAACATGGGGCAGTGAAACGAAGTCCTCCACAACTAGACTGAAGAACAAAAGGACAGCAACCTCTCTGTTCCCCTCCCCCAATTCCCCAATAAAATCTTAAAAAACAAACAAACACAGAGGTGCCATTTCTCACCTATTCGGTTAGATAAAATAATAAAATTTAATAATGCTCAGGCTGTGGTTTATATAAACTCATATGTTTATACATTACTTTTTTATTACAATGTGCATTGTTACAATACCTTTTCTGGGAAACCTGACAGCAGGTAATAAAGACCAGGAAATGATCAACTCTGTCTTGATTATCTCTTCTTATGGTAATACAACTTTAGGAAATAACTCCAAAGCTGTGCGTAGGTGGGTACGCCTTAAACAGACACAATGTTATATGCCAATTATATCTCCATTTTTTTAAAAGGTGGAGGGGCGATTTGGATGGGTTATCAAAAGGCTCATGGTAGAACGTGGAGCAGAGTATAAGATGTGGGTCACAGATTGCCAGGTAGCCGACACCTCAAAAAAGGGAGTCTTCATGAGGAAGGGAGTGGGCCGGTCTGGAAGTAGACACAAAAGCAAGAAAAACCATTCTGTGGCTTTCCAACCCGAGGTCCAAGGGTTTGGGAGAAATGCTCCCTCCGCTCAAGAGCTGCAGGGCCCGTGGCCTGTTCGTGGGAAAGCCATTCCTCGGGAGAAGGAGGCGGGTAGCAAGAGTTCCCTTTGAAGATGCTGAGGCTATTGGAGATTTTCCTCATGAAGAAACAGACTTCAGATAGCACAGGAGGAAGGTTTGGAGGGACCCATGGTAGAGGAAATGTTCCAGGGGCTGTGAAAAAGGAGTTGATGGGACCTGGCATTGGGGGTGGTGACTGAGGATCAGGGAACGCAAAGCCTGGTGACATTCACTGAGTTGTCCATTGTTCCCCAGCTGGCAGGAGCCGTTTGCCTCTCAGCTGTGATGTTTGTAGGAGAAGCTGCTCTGATACCTGCAGCAAGTCGTGGTGAAATCTCACTGATGAGGGCCTTGTCTTGAGCCCTTCTATTCACTCAAGAGGTCCTGGGGAGAACACTGAAAACGAGGCAATTGTGACACTCCTGAAGAGCAGTGCTGACACGGAGCACACAGCTTTACAACACAACGTGAGTCTCTGGCGGCGTTCTTTTGCGAAATGTAAGGCTCTGGGTGACAATGAATATCCACACAAAGACTCTGTTCATGACAGTCCCAAATGGGAAACAGCTTAAATGTCTGCCACGGGAGCCTGGATAAACAAATGGTGGTGTATCCATACAAGGGAACACCACACGACAATAAAAGTAAAGGAACCACTGATACGCATCACAGTATGAATGAATCCGCAGACACGCTGAAGGGAAGAAGTCAGACGTGAAAGATGACGCACCGTACGATTCCATTGATGTGAACTTCTAGGACAGGGATGGGGGGATGAGGACTGACTTCAAAGAGGCATGAGGGAAGTCGGGGGGGGATGAAGGAAATATTCTATATCTTTATTAGGGTGACAATTACATAGGCTTATATATTTGTCAAAAGTCATCGAACTACATTTAAAATCTGTTGAGGTGTAATTTAGTGTATTTAAATTACACCTCAATAAGATACTCATCTCTCTCTCTCTCTATCTATCTATCTATCTATCTATCTAATCTATCAATCATCTATAGAGAGATGTATATATGTATATAATAATCTCCTTTCTTAACTGGGGGTGATTTTGCCCCAGGGTCATTTAGCAATATCTGGAGGCAATTTTTAGTTGTCACAACTGGGGGGGAGGAGGCGCAGGCTAGGAATGTTGCTAACACCCTAAAATGCACAGGACCAACCCCCCCACAACAAAGAATTATCTGGTCCCTAATATCAGTGATGCCACAGTTGAGAAACCCTGCAAGTGGAACACCCTCAGTGTCTCATCTCGCTGATCTTTGGGAATCCGTGTAAGAGACACCTCTGTTTTGTTTGCTTTCCAGAAATAACTAAGCACAGCTCACTGACATCCCGGTCTTCCACACGCCACACAACAGCCGTTTTCATCCTCCAGCATGGAAACCCAATTTCACTGCTTGCGGGTAGGAACTGAGGCCCATCCACTTCGCCTGTTATCGTCAGGGAGTCCGGCATACTTTGCGGGCGGTGCGGGGGGTGCAGTAGGAAATCCTGCTAGAGGTGATTGGGGCCATTTTCTGAGGAACGATGAGCATGATTTTATTACCCGAAGATGAAGGAGCACACAGCTTTCCCCAACACGTTTAAGTAGAGAAACAAGACAGTCCAGTTTGGGAGGAAGAAAGGTAGGAATTAGAGGAAGATGAGCTTAGGAGGAGGAGCTGGTGGAGACAGGAGGCCCGTGGAGGTGGTCCAGGTGCCAGCTGATGGCCAGCCAGCCAGCCTCGCTCCCCGTGCCAACCCCAGGAACCTCCTCCAGCACTTTCCCAAACACCAACTCCAGACTTCTCTGTCTGGCATTCCAGACTCATTTTTGCCCTGCTTCTTAGCACTTTAGGTGTAAATATCACTTCATGTCCTAAATGGTAAGCTCTCTGAGAGTGTGGACAGTGCCCTACTGCTGTTTCATTCCTCACAGATTATCAGAGTGGTTGTTTACAAATACATCGGTGCCCTCACAGTGGCACCAAAAGCGACAGGGAGGAAGCTGTCTTTGTTCAGGAAAATATTTGATAAATGTTTTAAGGAAAGACGAGGCCCCGAAATGCCTAGATCTGCAAGCACTAAGCAATAAGAGACTAAGCCCAAGTGCATTACATTAAAAAATGAACCAAAAATAATTGGAATTGAACCAGAAGGAGACGAATGAGCGGAGAGGAAGGCTAAGCAACATGGAGGGAGGTTGGAGCCTGAACTGTGGGAATGGCAAAGGATTTTTAGGGGAAACAAAATCCTGATATGGATTTAAAGTTGCTCGTGTTTCTACAATGTAGTAAATTCCTGCACCTCCCCAACCCTCAATAGAGAGACCTACCTATACAGGTGCCTGTGTGAGTGGTTGGTTTAGTGAAAATGAAGGGGCAAGGGTAAGTCTCACATCTTGGTCAGTGCTGTGGGATAAGGAACTATGCCAGTGGGATTGTGGGAGAATCCCTGAAGTAAACCTGTTCAGCTGGGAACCAGAAGCACCCATGAGAACATAAAATCCTGCAGAGAATTCTTTTTCAGTGGGGCTTAAGTTAGTGTTGTCTAAAGTGCTTTTTTTTTTTTTTTTTAGCTGANAAAAAAAAAAAAAAGAACAGAGGGTTCCACATCCAACCAGCTTGTCCCTTCAGAGACCCTCCAACTGCCTAAAAACAAAGCAAAATAGGCTATTGCATAGGAAGTGGCAATTGTATTGAGCTAAAGAGATAAAGGTTGAAGTTTGGAGTTCCCACAGCAGCTGAAATTGAAGAGGAATGCCCCAGAAGGCAGGATGAAGAGAGGGGGGAACCACAAAATCGGTGTCAAATTCCCCCAGATCCTTGGTAACTTGTATACTGAGCACGTGTGTGAGGAGCCACCCAGGCGCCCAGCAGGAAGCAGCAATGGGGGCAAACAGCTGCATCTGAGTAGGTGCTCAATGCTCAGCATATTGAGTTCAAGTCCCACTGAGTTAGACAGGGCTCAGTAAAACCCACAGGCTTTCCCTGAAAAACAAGGGCCACACCTTATGAGTGTAAGAACCACAACCCAAGACTTAAGGCTATGCCCTAGGAGATGACAAAGGAAAAGCAAGCTTTCCACCAGTAATTCAATGCCTTCCAGAACAAAACTCAATGCATTTTAGAGGAAGGTGATATAGTTCAGTCTTTACAACACATCATTCACAATTCCCAAAACAATAATTTTTAAAAAGGTACTAGACAAAACAACAACAACAGAAAATATGATCCACAATCAAGGTAATGGTAGACCTATAGATAACTTACATGTTGAATTTAGCAGATGAGCAATTTAAAACAGCACATTACAAATACGTTAAAGGATTTACAAGGAAGATGGAAAGAAGGGGCAAAGATGTAGAGAATCTCAGCAGAGAAATAGAAACTTTAAAAAGAAAACAAATGGAAATTCTAGGATTGAAAATACAGGGCTGAAATTAAAAATTCATTAGATAGCTTTCACTAAACACTTTACACAGCTGAATAAAGGATCATGAACTTGCAAACAGTCCATGGCAATTATCCACTTTCTGAAGCACAAAGACAGAAAGCATCCTGTGAGACAATAGCAAATGATGGGTCTAACACATGTGCGATCAGAGCCCAGAAGGGGAGGACAGAGAGAAGGGGCAAAGGAAATGTTTAATAAGAAAAGGGCCTCTTTTCCCCCACCAAAATTGACAGAAGACAACCCACAGATCCAAGAAGCTCAGCCACCTGAAAGCATGATCAACACAAAGGACGTATCAGCGTCAACCTCGTAAAAAGTAAAAATAAAAATTTTAGGAAAAAAACTAACCTGAAAAAGATACATTGAGGGGAAAAATCATGGTGGCTGACAGACATCTAAATAGAAGGAACAGGAGTTAGAAGATGACTGAAAAACATCTTCAAAGTGCTGTGAAAACAAAAAATCTATGAAGAGCAAAATTCTCTTGTGAAAATGTAGGCAAAATAAAACATTACCAGGCAAACAAAAACTGAGAGTTAACCCTCATCACACGTAGTGCCAACAGGAAGTCTTCATGCTGAAGGGAAAGGTCCCAGGTGTACCGGAGTCTGCAAGGAAGAATGACAGTTACCACAGATGGTAATCTGTGGGCACATATGAAAGGCCGTCTTTCTCAAGCTCTTTAAAAGTACATTGCTGTGAAATGCAAGAGTGACCTAAGTGTGTTGTATGGTTTGTATGAAAGTAGTAGAATGAATGAGATAGCATGAAGGGCAGAGAGTAAATGAGTTGGAATATCCCAAGAAACTTGCCTCAGATGCAGATTAATATTAAAGTTTGACTGAGAAACTGAGAATGTACAGTGCAACCTGTAGCAACCCTTGAAATATATTAAAGGCATTTAACTTCAAAGTCTATTAAGGAGATAAAACAGAATACTAAAAGTGACTTTTCAAGTAAACCCAAAGAAAGCAGGACAAGAGGAACAGACAGGCAGGACGAGTGGAAAACACACAGAAGGAAGGCAGACTCAACTTGAACCTATCACTTGCCATATTAAGTAGAAATGGTGCAAACGTCTGTGTGCAGCCACGATGGTGTCACTTTTCCAACTTACCTTAATGGCACGAACAATGAGAAGATGACAAACTGTGTGGCAAGCCCTGCCTCTGGGTAACCATGGAAAGAGGAGTGTGCAGAGACCTTTATTTAGTCCATCTGGTGGCTTCACCCCAAGCCCACAATGTAAATCAGGACCATAGGCAATTAGGCCTCTGCGTGGAGGACTCAGTAAGGTGGATTGGCAGTTGGCTTTCTGTCCCTGTCCAGGCATGTCATGTGGAGTGCAGAGCAGCAGATAACTAATCTGTGTGCTGGTGGGGACAGGGCCCTGGCCTTGTGCTGTCTGGGGTTGGGCTGGCCTGGTCCTATTCCGGTGCGTTCTGTGGCATCTCCTGCTGATGTCTGAAGTCGATAAGCTCAAGGCCTATAGTTTATCCACTGGCCTCGTGGGCTCTCCCTACCAACTGGACATCCTCTCAAGCATTCCTGATGTCACCCTCCTCTGAGTCCCTGTCAGAGAAACTAGGCAACAAGAGTCATGTCGTATCTATCTTGCTGAATAAATGAATGATTGAATGAGAGTGAGCAAGCTGAATATGCTCAAATATTGTTACACAAAAAACATAAAAGTAAACATTTTACATACAGCACTAACTCAGTTTCTGAAAGAAAAATACATATGTATTAGTGTATATTACACACATACGCACACACATGGAAAGAAACATACCATATAAACATTGGTTATTTTGGGGTAGTGAGATTATAAGCATTTCTTTTTTCATTTACACTTTCCTTTATAGTTTTCATACTTCCCTGTGTGCAAAGCAGAAAGCCATAGAGTTATGCATTTCTCCTCGGAGACTGAACTGTGGAGAGTGACTGTCCTGCCAAACTCAGTTCCTACCAGACTCTCACGTGGTTGAGCGGCAATTACATATAATTCAGCCCAGGACGGTGCAAACCCCAGTGTCTCTTGGGAACACTCTGCCTGCAGTGACAGGCACACGGTACCACCCATGGGTGTAACTTCCTCTGTGGCTTTGCTCCCTTCTGTTCATCCTTATAGTCATGATGATGTCCCAGTACCCATGAAAGCTATGATCCCAGTCATCTGATGAGCAGTGTTTCCCAGTTTTGTAATCTGATCAGATTCATTTTCCCAACTGTTCTCCCCATGATGGTGAGAGTGTCGTCTTTTAACTCAGTCTTTGCATTGAAGGGGGCTGAGGTGCAGGCTCCTAGTAAAACAAGGGAGTGGGCAGTTCCCAGGGCAGCAACATGAATTCCACACTTTTATCCTTAAGGTGGTTTTAAAAAAATTCTACAGCAAAGTTCAAATCGACCAGCAGTCCCCTCTGAAGTAGCTACAATGCCATCTCATTCAGCCCTTCCACCTTCACTGTCTTTTTCTTAACAAGGCTTGATTTTAGGAACCTGGGCAAGAAAGTTGCACCTACAGCAAAAGAGGTGCTGAATTCCTGAGGCCTGGGAATTTAGGCCGTGATGGTATCTGTTCCTAGAAAAGAATTCACTCAAAAAAAGACAGGCCTTGACTGATAGAAAGAATCCACTTACAATTAGTCCATTTGTTAACCCTCTTTGATGTTAACCCTCCCCCAGGCTGCATAATGGAAACACATTTACACTTTTCTGAAAAGTGGAGGAAAAACCAGATAGAGGGAAAAAGAACTGGCTTTGAAGCCAGACTGGTCTGGGTTCTGATCTCCTTTGCAAAATTGACAATGGAAATACTTCTTTCGAGGGTTGTTTTCTGGATCAAATATAATGCATATAAAGTGCCCATCACAGTGTCAGGAACATAGTAGGTACTCAATGAAATGGCAGACATTATCTTCTGGGGGCAAGGAAACCTGAGATTAGACCTAGCTCTACCACAAACTAGCTCTGGGATGCAAATCCTAGAGAAGGACTAATGATGATAAAGACAAATTAGATCACAGATGACAAAATCAGAGCACTGACATCACAGGGTATTAATCTAACCTCGAAGCTTCTGCTGACTGCAGCAGTCTATAATTTACAATCAGCTAAAGGGTGATCTCGGTGGTGCTGTGGTTCCGAATGAGATGGGAAGGTTTACCAGCAAGTGGAGCTCAGCTGCCACAACAACTCAGATGTTATTCTCAAAGTGAGAACGTTAATGGTGAGATACATATCTTCCAGAGCATCCCAGTGGGTTTTCGATTAAGGTAAAGACTTAGGAGACAAAGCTGCATTTTAGAATCAAAGCTAGAGCTGTTCTGGAACTGACATTCTCTGATAAGCTATAAACATTGGTACTTACCACGGTTTGGGTAATACGATGTAAAGACCTCGATTTGTGTATTTTGAAAACCCCAAATACTCTTGTAGAAAATGTGAAGCACCATAAAAATACTATGCTTTTTCAACCTGACAAACACCCTCTTATTACAGCAAGCAGCTTTTTCCATGAAGGATTAAAAACATTCTAAAGTGCTTCTTTTTTTTTTTTTAGCTGAGCTATCCTGCTACCTGTTGGCAGCTCAGTGGCTGCTCAGCTCAGCCTGGGCTCGAACTGCTGTTGCTCAGAGCTCAAACTCTTGAGCGAGCTCTTAACCAACTGAGCCACTCGGCTGGCCCCCAAGTTAGTGTTGTCTAGATCTGTAAGGACTACAGAAGCCCCTGCTATATCTAAACGATGTACATCTACGTGCTGTCGCAGGTGTCCTGTGAATCTGGATGGGTCTAATCTGGGAGATATGCGAATGGGAGGAGGCAGCCAGCTTCCTCCCAGTGCAGTGAAACATTCGCTCATCTATAGAGGGGGACTTATTAGTCAAACAGGATGGAAAGCATTAAAGAAACAGTAAAGCATCCTGCACAGGAGTGCTCTTTGTGAGTGAACAGTCAGGACCGAAGAATAACAGACATGCTTCCTGGAACATAAACAGCTTCTCTTGGCTCACCCCCCTCCCCCTTAGAAATACTTTCTTCTGCTGGCTTCTGGGTCACCACTCTGTTCTGGTTCACCTCCCACCTCATCGGTTACTCCCTCTCAATCCCCTTTGCTACCTCCTCCCCCTCCGATCAGCCCCCGGATATGGGAGTGGGGAGGATCTCCTCTCTTCTCTGCTATAGTCTCTCTCTCTCTAGGTGCCCAGATCCAGTCCTGTGATCCTAACTACCATGTACATGCTCATGACTCCCACGTTTATATCAGCCTTAACCTCTCCCCTAAACCCCAGATTCATGTACCCAATTGCTTACTTGACACCTGCACTTGGATGCCTGCACTTGGATGTCTACCTAATAAGCATCTCAAAAAAAATTTTTTTTAAGACTTTATTGGGGAATTGGGGAAGGGAACAGTGTTGGGGGAATTGGGGAAGGGGAACATTGTGTTTTTCCAGGACCCATCAGCTCCAAGTCAAGTTGTTGTCCTTCAGTCTTAGTTGTAGAGGGCGCAAGCTCAGCTCCAAGTCCAGTCACCACTTGCAATCTAGTTGCAGGGGAGGAGGGGGAGCACAGCCCACCATCCCATGCGGGAATCGAACTGGCAACCTTGTTGTTAAGAGCATGTGCTCTCACCAGTTGAGCCATCCAGCCACCTGTTGGTAGCTCAGCAGCAGCTCAGCTCGGGCTCAGCTCACTGGCTTATGTGGGAATCGAACCAGCGACCCTGTTGCTCAGAGCTCGCACTCTTAACCAACTGCACTACCCGGCCGGCCCAAGCATCTCAAATTTTAAACACCCCAAACCAAGCTCATGGCCTCTTTCCTGTAACAGCTTCCTTCTTCTAATCTTTCTCTATGCGGTACCCATAGCCCAAACCTGTTGTGTTTGATTCCTTCCCTTCCTCACTTTCCGTATTCAATTATCAGCAAGTTCTGTGGGCTCTAACTCTGACTTACACCCCTAATCTGTCCACTTCTTTCATTTCCAACTCTACCACCCCCATCCAGGCCACTGCCAACACCGCTGTCCCACTGCAATAGGCTCCGGCTGCTTCTCCAGCTCTCCCAAGTCCAGTCTCTGCACAGTAGCCAGAGGGATCTCTTCCAAACATAAGTCAGACGAAGTCACTCCCCTGCTTGCACTCCTGGAATGGCTTCCCATCACACTTACACTAAAATCTCAAGTCCTTACTGTGGTCTATTAGATATCTATTGCTGCATAACACATTGCCTCCAAATTTGGTGTTGTCAAACAATATACACCCATCATCTCGGACAGTTTCTATGGGTCAGGAACCTGGGAGCAGCTTGGCTGGATGACTCTGATTCTGGGAACTTCCACGAGGTTGCAGTCAAGGTGCTCGCCAGTCATCTGAAGGCTTGACTGGGGTCACAGGACCCAAGGTGCCTGACTCATACGCCTGGGAAAGTAATGCTGATTGTTGACAGGAGGCCTCAGTTCCTTGTCACGCGGACTCTCCGTAGGGCTGTTTGAGTAACCTCAGGACAGGGCTGCTGGCTCCCCCCAAAGCAAATGATCCAAGGGAGAACAAGGCGGAAGCCCCAATGTCTTTTGTGACCTATCCTTGGAAGCCACACTCCATCATTACAATATCCTACTGGTTACACAGGACAACCCTATCGAGTGTGGGAGGGGACCACACAGGAAGTTCATCCAGAGAGGCAGGGATCATTGGGAAACACCCTGGAGGCTGGCTGTCACACATGGCCTACAAGCCCCTCCATAATCTCATCCCTACCTATATTTCCAACCTTATTTCCGACCACTGTGCCCCTTACTGCTCATCATGTTCCAGCCACACTGGCCATCTTGCTTTTTCTCCGATACACCTAATACCTTCCTGCTCCAGGACCTTTCCACTAGCTGTTCCCACAGCCAGAATGCGCTTCCACAAGAGGTTTTCATAGCAAGAAAGTCCTGTTCTCGGAGAGGACTCCCCTGAGCCCACCCTAACATGCTCTCAGTCACCATCAGACCAGCTTTATTTTTTTTTCAGGGTACTGATCTCTATCTGTTCTATATTCTTGTTTATTTGTTCATTGTCAGTCTCCACTAGGCTATAAGCTGCGTATGAACAGGAAATCGTATGTATTTTGGTCATTGCTGTCTTCCAAGCACTTAGGACAATGCCTGGAACGTATTCAGATGACTTTGACAGATGAGTGAATGGAGGGCTTTCCAAGGTCTGATGAAGCACCTCACGAGAACATCCACCCCTTGTCACTTCATGCTTTCTAACCATCCTTCTGACTCAACTCCTTGAGGTCCTCAAAACCAGCTAGAGAAGGTCCTGGGAGACACATGTGACTAATAATAACAATAATAATAGTTCATTCTTAGGTTGGGTTTACTATGTACTATGCACCGTCCTAAGTGCTTGGTATAATAACTCATAATAAGCCTATGAGGATGGAAATGGTACCATTTCCCATTTCAGAGATGAGAAAAGTGAAGCCCAGAGGGTCCAAGGAACTTAACACCAGATCACACAGCTAAAAAGTGGTAGGGCAGGATTCAAGCCAGGAAATCTGGCTCCAGAGGCCAGGTTCTCTCTCTTTTTTGTTTAAATGGTTACGTTGAGCTATAATTCACATGCCATGCAATTTACCCATTTAAAGTGTATCATTCAATGGCTTTTCGTATAGTCACAGAGTTGTGTAGCCAGCACCACAACCAATTATAGAACCTTTTCAGCACTCCAGAAAGAAACCCTGCACTCCCTAGCAGTCACTTCCATTTGTCCCCAACCTCCTCCCTCAGCCTCAGGCAACCACTGGTCTACTCTCTATCTTCATGGATTTATCTATTCTGCACATTTCATATATACAGAATCATGCAATATGTGGTCTTTTGTGACTGGCTCATTTCACTTAGCACAATATTTTCAAGGTTCACCTATGTTATAACATGTGTCAGTACTTCATTCCTATTAATTACTCAGTAATACTCTACATGGATAGACCACGTTTTGTTTATCCATTCATCAGTTGATGGACATTTGGGTGTCCCCACTCTTTGACTATTAAGAATAATGCTGCTATAAAAATCTGTGTATGAGTTTTTGTGTGAACGTGTTTTCATTTCTCTTGGGTATCTAGATATATAGGAGTAAAACTTCGGGTGATATGGATACAGAGATCAGCTTCCTGAAGTGAATGAATACTATGAACCAAAGCATCAGTTTGGTTTCTGTATCAGTCTTGAGTTTCTTAGCACGGTTAGCACCAGCCTGACCTGAGGGCCTGATCACGTAGGTCCAGGTGACGAAAAACCCAAGAGGTGAGGGGTTGCCCCTGAGACGGAATGCCGGAAAAATGTCCCCCGAGGAAAAACTGTTGCCAGTTGCAGATTCCCTGTATAAGGTCATTCCCCCACAAGGTTGAAGCCACTTCCTTTTCTAAGGGAAATGAGTTTTGTAATGAGTTTGTATCAGTTCACCTGCACCTTTTCATCCATGACCCTTTCTGATTAAGAGCAGAAATTTGTGAGGTGACTTACATAGTGTCCGGAGGTGCTATCAATATCTGGGAATGGGATATATATGTTTTAAAAAATTGGTCACTTTAGGGATCGAATGCGACTAAGGTCTCATGAGTCCCTTCCCCAGACCTTTAGCTCATGCTTACAGCACCTGAGGACAGAGGCTGCATCCACTCCCAGTGATGGGTCTTTCTCCCCAGGAAGCTGGTCACAGCTTCCAGGCAGTTAGCTGTGGGACCCACAAGACCCACAAGTCTCAAAGAAGGGGCAGGAGGGTTTGAAGGGAGGTTGCTTTGGGACTTGTCAGAAAGTAACATGTGGGGCTTCCCTTAGCTCTTGACAACCCCTTGCCAGGTAGGCTGGGGGTGTCAGAGGCCTTAGCGTCACTGCTCCTGCCTTCACTGCTGCCCTCCCCACCTGAGAGGGTCAGCCTCAAGGGCCTGCTGGCACAGTAATGACTGTGTGGTCAATGTCAGTTAATGAACACAATGTCCTCACTGGCAAAGGTCTGTGGGTGCCCAGCAGAAGACAGCCCTGCGGCTGAGTCTTGGGTGTAAAGGCCAATGCACACAGGTTGTTGCCTTGGATTTGTTTTGATTTTATCATGGGTGTGGTCAGCATGTTGTCCAGAACTGAATGAACTTTAAGTATTCCCTGAACGTCGTTACTGGACTGAAGTTCAGATCTGTTTGCAGTTCTTATAATAAACCCTTGAATTCACTCACCACCTTTCCTTCAGGTCCTCACAGAGCTTTGTACCCATGACCTCCTGTCTGCCTGGGAAATGCTGCAGAGCCAGTAACAGCCTATCCACATTCTAGAAGGCAGAAATGTGGGACAAGTGGTTTTGCTCAGGATCACACAATAAATGGGCTGTGGGCCGAAGCTGAAAATAAGCTTGTCATTCATCACACCCTTCCCGCAGCCTAAGCTGCCCCTCCTTGCGGGCTGAGTTTTCAAGGGGAGGGGGCGCGTCATGTACAGAGCAGATGCCTGCTGCACACACCCCGGGATCCTAGCCGATTCGAACGTGCCCTTCCAGCTTCTAGACTAGAAGGGAAAATCCAAGCTTAACTTGAAGGTACAGTATGTAGCTTTGTT